CCAAGATCCTGAACCGACGAAAACTACTCAATAATCGAATTGGAACTGTTATAACTCTCGGCAAAACGCACCCGGGATAAACGGAGTCTGTATTGCTCAGTGTTCCACCTGAAACTACAGCTATTTCCGAACTGAATTTTCACGGCATAAAACAATCCGTTGCGAGCCTTTCGCAGCGCCATCGTCGCACGATGTACAAGTCGAAATGCGATTGGCTGGGACGCGAACCAATGAAATGCCTATATGGCGACCGTTGCGCCCTCATATTTATTTCATGTCAACTATAATTGACAGACAGGATGTGCGAAGACATCGTTAACTAATTTTTTAACAATGGTGGTCAAGTGGAGAATTTAAACTCCGATTTGACACCTGAGAACGACGCTTTCTGATAACATAACATGAATCAAATTAAACAAGAGAAAAGAATATAGCACTACTTAAGTTAGTTATCATTTATTATCGACAAAACATTTGGAAAAAAATTGTGAAAGGATTGACAGCTTTACGGGGTGGTTTTGTTGAGGACTTAATGAAACATTTTTTCATCAACTAAAAAACGTTTGGCTTTTTGGGAGGCATCTGAGAAAATACCTGAGTGAAAATGGCGGTAAAACGAAGCCATCATTACAACTCCATAAGAGAAATGTTTCGTGTGTGGGATTAATTGTCGAGGCTGCTGTTAGTCAACTATAAGCAAACGGGCAAAAGGTTAGCTGGTGTAAACAATAGTCTATTTTTCTAACGGCACATGTTTTAACGGTGTGTCACCACTAAATGTCATCGTAAAGGAAAAAAAATGTCTATTACACACAAAACTGTCCTTTGTCCACAGCGTCACTTAACACATTTTTGAGGTTTATAAGGGGCGCCATTTTCTATCAGGAAATTCCCAAAGAACCACACGTCATTGACGAAGAATAAAACTTGCCTTCAAGGGCTACCCGGCGGAAATTCCTCATGCATGAATCCGGATAAATAATCCATTTCCTTCCAAATACAAAACTGAGTGGGACAAAAAACAGTTGCAGGAAGTTTTAACATTATTTATTGGTTGTTCTAGACTATAATAATCATAATATAACAACCATCTTTTATGTGTTGGATTACCATGAAATCACCACCTGGTTTTCACGGTGGACGTGGTCGGTAGTTTGACAACGAAATAATATTTGTTTTGTTGGGCAAGCGCTGCCAGAATTTAATCAGTTGCGACTTAGGGTTGTTGTAGGCGTGTGGCGGAGGTAGGCAGAGGAAGGGAGTGGCACGAAATTCAAAACTGTAACACTTCAAAGATCTGCTTCATGTGGGTGATTCATTTCGATAGCATTACCGTGAGCACAGAAATCCGATATATAGAACAATAGAGGCTGTGATACTTTTCACTATTTTAAAATAACCATGACAAGCGTAAATGTGAGGTATAGCCAAGGAAATATTGAACGAGAAATTCGACACTTTGCGAACAGCCTAAAAGCGCCTTTGCAAACATGCTGTAACGCTCAAATCCACTATCGAAATTAAATTTATACCCCGAACGTAAATTTATATCCCCCTTCTTGCAATGTTACGTGCCGTCTGTTCAACAAACGAGTTCTCACTTAAAACAAAATGTAAACAATAAGGTCACTAAACAATCCTTCTAAATTGACAGGCACACCCAGCCTTCTTTACAAAATTCTCTTAAGGCCTGGTAACGAATTCTTATCCTCTACAAATAAAACCGCCTCTCGAAAAGCTACTACCGGTATCTGCAGGCAAGGTTAGTTTTCATTAAGTAAAGAGAAGAATGCCTTTCCCACGATAGAAACTGTGACGAAAAACTTCGTTCCGCTCGCAGACTACAGATGGCGGAACCACAATTTACAACGACAAGTGAACTACAACACAGCACAGTTCAAAGGAAAATCGAAATATCACCAAGCATTAAAATTGTGTCTAAATTTAGTAAAAGACATTTCAAAATTAGGGTTTGGTACATAGGATGGTGGAAAAAAACAACCCCTGAATGACACAGAAGAGGAAATAACTTCTGAATTCGAAAACGATAAACGCAATTGTCGTTTTAAAAGGGAAGACCGGAATTAACTCAGTTAACTATAAAAATCTGGGTGAACACGTTTTTACTTATCAGTTTATTCAACATCCTATTTGCAATTTTACTGCAGCAACACCTTAGTCTATTAACCTTTAAGAATACCGTTACGCCGGTCAGAATTACTCAGCTGTTCAAGTCCCCTCTTAACCATGGAAACCACTGAACAATCTTCATTGATAAGTCAAGTCATTTCAACCTTAAATTTTTGTAACATTGTTTGCGTTGGACGTGAAAACAGCCCGGGTGGGATGGGCTAAGAGGACTCGCAGGGTGGTCATTTTAGAAAACATACCCTGAGCGGTACCACACCAGGAATTTTAACACCTGGAAAATACGACTTTCTCTCAGCGTTATATGGCAGAATATCTTCGCTTGAATAGGAACGGAAATTTAACAAAGAATTTAAAGAAATCGGCACTTAAGAGTTCAAATAGTCGCATTTAGAACTTGATCTACTTTTTTCTAAGCAGGTGTCAGATAAACCAAATTTTTGTAAACACAGTGAATATTCAAAGAATGGTTGGAGACAGAATCTAATGTTTCGTTGATTAAAAAAAAAAAAAAAAAATTCCAAAAATGTTCATCATTTTCTCTTATACTAAAAGTACGTATTTGGAAATAGAAAGAAACTGGAATGTTTATTCACCGGCTAAGATCTTTTCTTATCGTTGTCACTGACCTTGCTTTTAAACAGATAACCGGTGAAGGTGAGATAAATAATGAAAAACCCAAGACTTGTTTTGTCAAACCCTGAGAAATACACGGGAGGTAATTTATCAACGAAGTTCTGCGGGTTTGAGGTGTAACCAGTAATGAAATAAAAGCTTTATTGACTAATTTCATTTTCCAAACAGTAATTAAAGGTTAGCTTTCTTTAATAGGGCAGTTCATTTATAACTGTCAATCAACACTTCAAGCCAAACATGTCACCAATAGAAAGCGCGGGGAAACACGCGATCAGTCGTCAGTCAATGAGCCACATGTATAGCGCGGGACAACCTCTTCGCGGTGATTGGATAGCTTGCTTTGCACCTGTTTCAATTGGCCAGTCATAACAAACCAAAGCGGAACTTGAACAAACTGTCAAAGCTAGTGGTAGGCAAGACATGACTGATTCGATTAAACTGAGAGAAAATTTCAACAGAACCAAAAACAAACACGGCCCGGTTTCAAACAAGAACGTCGAGTCCGGTTCGTGCAATAGCTAGTCCGGACCTTGGCGTGTGAAACGGGACGATTGCAGTTTCAGACGGAAAACTCTTCTGATTTGATCCGTATACACTTAACCGTCACTTTACACGGATGACTAGAAGAATGATTTCAAACTGTATTTGTATCCATCCCGTTTTCACCCTTACGGAAACTCAAAGTCGGGTCACTCGGTAATTGCGTTTATTGTGAAAACATTATTTTATTTTGTCGGGACACAAGCCATCTGTTTAAGAGTAAAACTCATCTCCTTTATCCGCCTCAAGTCTAAAAACTGACTAAATACTGACGAACCATTGCACACAAACATTGGGGGAAGAAACTGATTCAAGCAACTGCAGAGAACGTATCCGCGACCCTATTTTAAGGATGTACAATCGACGCTCTTTTTCATATTTCCAACCAGGATGCTACTATACTGCTGCATTTTCGTCACCGCTGCTTTCAGTGATAAATGAAGAAAAGGAAAGTTACAGGTGTGTGAGTTGTTTTTCGCAGGCCTGTCTCATCCATGAAATAACAAAACAATCCTGAACAATTGCAGTCTGAATTATTTACTAAGTTTATGGTGTAGGTGTCAGTGCACACGTTTTTATACAACATCGTGTTGTGTTTACCTCAAGCGTTTAAGCGACACGCCTGTGATACTTTTGAACAACAAGCGTCTTTTCAGACAAGCCAGAACAATTCCCTCTTTGAATTATTTAGTCTGTACAAGATGTAGGTGTCATAAGACAATCTGAACTTTGTCGACACGGAATTGTATTCGTCTGAGGCGTCTTCAAAACAAAACGCCCTGCCACATGGTTTGACAGGTCACTCATTCAGTTTTCCATAACATGAAAGCCTAACATCCTCATCAAGGCGAAAATACTTTGAAACTTTGCTTTATGCGGTTTAAAGAAAATCACCACGTCTCCAGTATTTTCGTCGCTAATTTTCTCTTTTGTTTTTTTCTGTCAAGAACGAGCGTCCTTTCCGACAAGCCAGAAAAACTCTCTCTTTGAATTATTTAGTAAAAACACAAGATGAATGTGTTATTAGACACATTTTTATGGACAATAAGGCATTGACTGTGTCCGCCTAAAATGTCCACAAAACAAAAACCCTGCCATATGGTTTGACAAATAACTCATTCAGTTTGTCATAATATGAAAGCTTGAAATCTTCATCAAGGAATCGAAACTTTGCTTACGGTTGAAAAAAACTCACGATGTCTCGATTATTTTCGTTTTACGTAGAACACGTTGACAGATAAATTTTTAAGACGCTATGTTTCAAATAACTGGTACTTCCATGAACTTGCTACCACGAACAGCTAAGATTTAACTTCGAGGTTACTTTGCCTGCCAGACCAGTGATTCTTTCATGACTTGTCGTCCAAATGGCTAAGATTCTTTATCTTTTTACCAGCTTCAACTGTTGAGGCAACTCGTCCCGCCAATTCCCTCGAAGGATATATAATTTCTTAAGCAGGTACCCTAACATGGCACACCTGCCAGCAACGACCTTTTTAGGAACAGACGTGCGCTCACTCGCAAACGAAACTAGATCAAAACGATAGATAATGATCGGGCAATCGTCTTACTACTTCATTTTGAGCAGACGACGTTTGTTTTATTTGCCGGGAAGTGACTTAAAATTCATTGAAAAACAGTCATACATGCTCTAAAATAACCAACAAACAACAGGACATGATTAAAAGAAGTGTGTAAACTTTTAATGCCTATATTTATATTATTACGTATAATTTGAATTTGGTATAAAGTTCTGTTGTTCCATTATATTGGAATCCTTCATGTTGTATTTTGTCATCAAGTGGTTGAGTTGTACATGTATGTCTTAAGCAATGACAGCCCAAGCACCTGGCGTCGTTAAAATACCGCTATACCAGGGAATTGTGCCGTTGAAATCCTCAAGCGTCCGCATATATACTCGCAAAAATTAACGAGGCTTATCAGATCCGCCAGTAACACGATCACTAGCAACGTTCCGTTGTGGCTCACAACAAATCTCGAAGTTAGTTCCTCATTTATCAATTACTGTTATACAGTACTGGACATCACGATGCTTCGGATCCAGGCCTTACGCATCCAATCCGATTAGAGGTCACATGCCTTCCTCGTACAGTCACGGGCCTTTGATGTAAAAAGACGCGAGCTCGGCAGCACAGCCGACAATTGCTCCCAACACACTCCCCCAGAAAATTATCCAGCTGAGATGAAGGTAGATCACGTCCTTGACAAGCTATACAAACAGGTAGAGTCAGATGACGATGATTTTTGTAATCTAAAACGTTCTAAGGTCATTCACGATGAATATACCCTCCAAACGTTAAAATGATGGCTTAACACGCCAAGGAACGTTGTTGCCAAGGAACGGTTTTATAACGAGTATCGAAAAAGCAAATCAAAGAAATCACACCTGACCAATCACAACAGAATTAGGCGACGCAGTAACCCAATCACAACACGCGGGAAGCGCGTGTTGTAATTGCGCGGGAAAACATGTAACCAGCGCCAAGCGCGGGAAAACATTTTACCAGTACCAAACCCGGAAAAAGGATTGGTTATTCACATGGCGTAACATTTTTGTAAAATTGTAGGGCACAGCAAATGTTCCCCGCAACCAAGAACAATAAAATTAACCAAACTGAAGAAAATTAATTTAAAAATTAAATTAGGCGAACGTAATTTTTAAGACGGGAAGATTTGAGGAGGGTCAACTAGAAACAAAAATCAAACTTTTTTTATAGCCATTTTACCCTTTCAATCCTAGGATCAAACTATTAATTCTCCTTGCTGACTCCAAAACATTTCTTTCATTGTTAGTTTGAAACATTTAGGTACAAGAAGGCAACATTAGACTACGAGTAGCCCGTCTTTCGCTTAGTCCGCCGTGCGTGACACGAAAGAAAACCGCGAGGAAGAATTGGCCGCGCAAAATCCTGGGGGCGAGAAGCGGAAGAGGGACTACCGTATATACTCGAATAAACGCCGCACTCGAATCACGAAAAATTCAATAAACGCCACGGGGTTTAACCGAGTAAATACGGTACTCTTAGTCTAACGTAACATGGGAAAGTTCGTGATTTTCCTCTTTCTCTTCTGCTACTTGACAGTCTACCAGGTATTGTGGAACGAATTCAGAAGATCTTGTTCGCTCTTGGAAATGACGTAAAGGGCAATTACACAAAACAGACTACAGTCAGTGAACTTACGAGCTTGACTTCTTGAGCAGACAGTTCATGTGTCCTTGTTAAAATCAAATCCACGATCTAAATAAAAGACAGCAGAAGTCATGGATTTCGTTTTACAAAATAACTGAGACACTACGCGCGCTCCCATTGGTCGATAGGTGTGCTTAGATGAGACTATGTAAACGCGGTTGTGACGTTTTAGATTCGTACATATTTTGGAGAAATATTTTATAAAAGCAACAGAGTACATGTACTTTTTCCGTGTTTACATAGCTTCATCTAAACACTTGGGGGGTTGGGAGAATTCTTGAAAGTTATGCAAACCCTCGACTATGTCTTGGGTTTGCATAACTGTCTCAAATTCTCCGAAACCCCCTCGTGTTTAGATGAAGCTATGTAACCAAAAAAAAAAAAAAATGCTCTCTTGCTTAAATTCAAATTGGCTTAACCTCATTTCACTTCTGATTTGAGTTTAAAATTGGGGTATTTTAGTGTAGTAAGACCACAACTTTATTAATAGTCTTTGTATTTGACAGGTGTCCCTTTCTATCCTTAACGTCCCTTTGTAACCCCAAGTGAAGTTAAGGTAAGACGGCTGAGGGAGGAACAGAACTAGAATAAACTTCCTTTGCCATTCAGCGACCCAGTAAAATCAGTTGATAAAAGAATCAACGATCGAAGCGATACAAATTACTTGACAGTATCCGTCTGCGATTCCACAAAATGTTCTGAGATTGGAATGGAAACCGAGGGAGAAAGGATACATTGCAAGAACTGATAAGGTAACTTCTAACATCTTAGATCTTGCGTGATGAAAAGCACTCTTAAGCAATAGTTTAATTTTACAGTTAAACAAGAGGTTACAAACTTGTTCCCTGAGGTGGTCTGCATTCAACAATTCCACAGATTCAATAGACGAGAGAAGCTGTAGGACACAAGGTCAAACACACACACACACAAACAAACAAAAAAACAAAATTATTATTGATTCTACAAAATGCTAGTCGTGCTACATGATGTGGCCGCCATGTGTACATGTAGAGGTCGATGGTAAGCCAAACACAAATGACAGCTTTGCCATTCCTGCTGGGTTCATATGGCAAAGTATTAAACGTATTAAGAAGGGGCTTCATCCAGGGTAACACTACAGGTATCGTGGTTCAAAAGCTTTTTCTTGATTTTTCTCCGCATGAGAGAGCCGCGAGAAATTCGCGCCGCTTCGCACCTCTCTCATGCGGAGAAAATCAAGAAAAGAGAAACATAAAAAAAACCCTCTGGGACCAGGGTATACTATAGGCTGCTAACTCCTCATGAAAATTTGACTGCGCCTGTGTTTTTTGAGCAGTGATGTCGCTAAGCAACAAGATGTGTTGTGACGTAACTGGCAACTTTCAAAGCATTCACGCAGCTACGCTACATCTGAAAGTGTACACGAAGGGTATTTTTTTTTTTAAATTTCAGTTTCACTGACGTGCTATATAGCAATAAGAAATTCTTCCTTACCAAGGGTACAATGCAAGGTTTCAAATTCAGTAAGTGAGCTTTTACGAGAGGAAACAGTTTGGCTTTGGTGACACCAAGCATTTGAAGTCTCAGACCTAAAAAATATGCACAATATCGATTCTAAAATCTGTAATATTGAGTAATAAGTCTGTAAATAAAATTTACCTTTGTGGGCGACCCCTTCTTTGTGATCATTCAAATGAGAGCTTTTGAGGAACACTTTTACTGTATGGTGCTTTTTCTTACACTTGGCTTCGTACATTTAAGGTGTGATCATTCAAATGAAAGCTATCGAGCAGTGCATTCATTTGGTAGTTACTGCTTTTCAAATATTTTATTCTGAACTGTAGCACTCTTTGGAGTAACATGCAGGTACATGGGACACACATTTTATGTCTGTGCAACAAGGATTTAAACAACAAGTGAATATTTGAAAGTTACTTGAGCTTGCGGACAAGTTCAATATAAAAGAATTTTTAAATTGCACAAAAAA